TGTCCCGTCGAGCACAGGTGCGCAGCGGGTGGCCTACTCCCGCTACTCCAGGCGCTGGGCGCTAGGAGGCAGGTTGTCCCGTCGAGCACAGGTGCGCAGCGGGTGGCCTACTATCGCTCCTGCAGGCGCTAGCGGGCGGGCGGGCCATCCTGTCGAGTACATGTGCGCAGCGGGTGACCTACTATCGGTCCTGCAGGCGCTAGCGGGTGGGCTGTCCCGTCGAGCAAAGGTGCGCATCGGGTGGCCTACTCCCGCTACTCCAGGAGCTGGGCGCTTGGAGGCAGGCCGCCCCGTCGAGCACAGGTGCGCGGCGGGTGGCCTACTCTCGCTCCTACAGGCGCTGGGCGCTAGTGGGCAGGCCCTCCCGTGGAGCACCGGTGCGCAGTGGGTGGCCTAGTCTCGCTCACCGGGCGCTAGCCGGCAGACGGGCGGGCGACCAGAGCATTGCCGCTCTAGTCCAGGTGGGCTATGAGCCGGCTATGAGTGCGAAAGACACCGGCCGCTGCCCTCTGTAGCGCCAACCTTTACGCTCTCCGTGTATTTCGCAGACAGTCAGAGATACTCACCAGCAACGCGGTGCTGTCCAGCTCGCGCGGGGGCAGCTGCGTGTAGTAGCGGTAGGGCGGGGCGCCCGCGCCGGGGCTGCCGTTGCCGCCCCCGGAGCCGCCCCTCAGCCCCCCGATCGTCAGCGTCCCCGCCCCCGGCCCAGCGCCGCCGACGGCGAAGCCATCCCTGGATCCCGCCGACCGTAGCGGTGCCTTGTTCCTGGTGACGAATGAGAAGTACACAATGTTGGTTAGCAGCACATTGACGGGGAATACACAGCGGCTGGGTGGGCCCGTCCAGAAGACCGTTTTGTCCAGAGAACCAAATGCAAAACCGATCAAATTTTAGCTCTTCAAACCAAATTTTATCCATATGACGATGAAATAATTTAGTCAAGATGACTTTTTTTGATTAGTGCGACCATTTTTAGTTCAAAATAAGGATACTATATTTGAGTCGGTTTCAGGAACTAACTTTTGTTTATGACAACCCTGATTTAGTTTAACCAACTAAATGGTTCTCTGTGTACGGTGCTGCTCGAAAGCAAGACACTACGCTCCCCGCGCGGACACACAACACTACAACGGCATGGTCCCCGGAGCCAGCGGCTATGACCTTCTCGGGGTGGCGAAAGGTATGAATCTAGTTCGTCGGGCGG